TATTAAATAATTTGATTACTTGGGGCTTCCCTGGTGGCGCAGTGGTTGGGAGTCCGCCTGCCGATGCAGGGGACACGGGTTTGTGCCCTGGTCTGGGAAGATCCCACATGCCGTGGAGCAGCTGGGCCCGTGAGCCATGGCCACTGAGCCTGTGCGTCCGGAGCCTGTGCTCCGCAGCGGGAGAGGCCACAACAGTGAGAGGCCCACGTACCGCAAAAAAAAAATTAAAAAATAAAAAAATAATTTGATTACTGGGGAAACAGGGATCGGGGAGTGCGGGTGTGGGAAGGTGAGTTAGGTACTATGATTTGAGGCAAATGACTAATTTAACTTTTATTTATCAGCTGCTGTAGTTTGGACCGTGAGACTTTCGCCAAGAGCCCTCCCACTCACCTAATCAAAGATGAAATAAGTAGAAGGAAATACTCAGCAGCCCAGTGCTGAGTTTGCAGACCTTAAGTATAAAGCCACAATGGATATGTCAGAAGGCTACTAGGGTGTTATTTATTTACATTTATTTCATGGAATTGAGCATCACCTTAATGGCCTGAAAGTGTTAAAGTATGTCCCAAAGTACCTAAATTATTCCCTAAATGTAATTTATGCTCGAGAATAATCTGACTAACTTGATTTAGAACAGCAGGAAATAAGTTATGCTGCACATAAATGAAGCAGCAGTGTAATTTTAAATACTGCTTGCATAGTGAATGAGGATTTTAATATTTGCAAAATTTTAAAATCACTTGATTTATTATCCATATGTTTATACTGACATTTTTTTGTTTTTTATTTAGTTGGGTCTACATTTCCTCTTACTGCCAGGAAAAAAAGCAGCAACTTTTTTTTTCCCCTTGTAATAATACAGAGGGTAAAACTAATATTTCTTTCCCTGAATGCTGTTTTTAACATCTCTATGTGTTTCTGGTTGTTGCTGCCTTTTTCCTCAGTCATGGACCATCCAGTTAATGGAATGAGAGGAATTTAGGGAGCATAGTGAGTGATTAGAGACTAAATTTAGAAATGTAACATTGCAAAACGAGCAAAATTTATATTTATTCATTTGGAATGTTACTTGGTGGGAAAGAGTTTAAGTTTATAAGTAGTCATGATAAAAAATGAAACTTTACATAGTAAATTCAAGAATAGATTTAGATTTGGCTGTTAACAATGTGTATTCAAATGCTGGAAAGTATTTTTAAGATTTTTATGTGATGCTTAAAATGGAATTTAAAATATTATTACTCACATTAAATCATCACATGTAAAGTGCATGCTTTTATTTAATATTTTGTTTGGATAGAGTTACTTATTTTAACATTAATTTTAATAATAAAATTAAATCAGCTTTACAGTTTTCGAAGTTTTAGCAGTTGCAGACTCTAGTGAATATTCTGTATTTAGAGATTTATAAAGTGACAGTATAAGTAGTTCAGATGAAGTCTTTAAGTATGAAAAGGTTCAGATTGCAGGAGCTGGGGAAAAGGGAGCAAAGGGAAGGAGGACATTTCAGGAATATTGGACTAATGTACAAAGTCACGAAATCCTGAGACAGTAGCAAGGCATGGGGGGACTGCAGAGAGTCCTTTCTGGCTGGTAACTCCATCCTGTCTCATTTTTGTGGGCCTGGAACACACATGTAAGTAGAGAAGCCTGAGCTCTTAGACTGTTTCCCTTCTCTTCCTATCTCCAACTTGGTCTTGCAGAACTAAGGGGTACCATGATCAACTGTATGGGTGCTGATGGTTTTCTTCTCCTGGAGAATTTAGAGGATAGATAAACTGTGAAGAAGAGGGATTGGATGGGAGGAGGCTTTGTGGAATCTGGTGGAAGATGGTAATTGCCAGTGGTGAGTGGTGGAGGGACACATTTGCAGCAGACTGGAATGAAGAGTATTTATAGCACAGATGTTGGAGAAACAGTCACCTCCCAGTAGCTAAAAGGGTTGGCTAGAGGGTAAATATGGTGATTGGGTTGGGAAAAAAGAAAAGTAAGAAGGGGACTGATGACTGCTACAAAGGTGGGATGGTAAATTATGACCAAATGACAACTCCTCTGTGGTCTGGTTAGCCTCTGCCTGTTTCCCAAACTATGGTGTCAGGAGCATAGTTGGAGATGTTAGTTGTTTGTGTGTGAGACTGCCTTTTAAAAAGTATTATGCTTAGTGAAATAAGTCAGACAGAGAAAGATGTTATCTATGTTATCACTCTGTTATCTCTTATATGTGGAACCTAAAAAAAATAAAAGAATGTGTATAATGAAACAGAAAGAGAATCACAGATTCAGAGAATAAACTAGTGGTTACCAGTGGGGAAAGGAAAAGGGAGGGGCAAAATAAGAGTATGGGATTAAGAGACACTACTATGTATAAAATAAATAAGCAACAAGGATATATTGTACAGTACAGGGAATATGGCCATTATTTAAAATACAGCTGTAACTTTGAATGGAGTATAGTCTACAAAAATATTGAATCACTGGGTTGTACACCTGAAACTAATATAATATAGTGAATCAACTATAGTTTAATTTAAAATAAATAAATTTTAATAGCTGTATTTTTCTGAATATTCAAAGTATGAAATGCACATTGCAGAAAAACTTGACAACATAAAAATACATATAATGAAAACTAAAATCAACTACAGTCTCACTAAGATGGAACAATGCCAACTATGATTCATTGTGTTTTAGATTCTCATTTAACAACTCTTTGACTCCAGTGCTTCAAGTACCTGTAAGACATATAAAATGTACAATTCTTTTTTAAAGGGAATAAATTCTTTTTTTTTTTTTTTTTTTTTTTTTTTTTTTT